CTCCCGTGACTTGCCCCAGCTTCTGCCAACCTAGCAGTTCGAAAGCACGTAAAAAACGCAAGTAGAAAAATAGGAACCACTAATTTTGGTGGGAAGGGAACAGCGTTCCGTGCGCCTTCGGGAGTTGAGTCATGCCGGCCACATAACCCCAGAGACGTCTTCAGACAGCGCTGGCTCTTCGGCTTTGAAACGGAGATGAGCATCGCCCCCTAGAGTCGGGAACGACTAGTGCATATGTGTGAGGGGAACCTTTACTTTTACCTTAAAAACACTTGGTGCATTACATTGGGGGGGGGGGGGGGGATGGAAAATCACACCCAAGATAGAAAACATGCATCGGTTCAAATCGGGCATTAAGAAAAAAAGACATGAACACATTTTCGGGCAGATTGTGTTGAATTGCCACTGGTTAAAAAAAAAAAAAAACAGACTGAAGCCGACATGGGGTTGAGCAAATGTGAAACGCAGCCAAGCGACGACATTCGCTGCCTCTGTTTTCTCATAAAGGAAAGGATTAAAAAAAAAAGTAAACTTAACCATCCAGGATTGGGTCTGCCAACACCCCCTATTTGTGAAATAAGATCTAATAATACAGGTAGTCCCCGACTTACGACCACAATTGGGCCCAACATTTCTGTTGTTAAGAGAGATGGTTGTTAAGTGAGTTTGGCCCTTTCTGTGACACTTTCTTGCCACAGTGTTAGTTAAGCGAATCACTGCAGTTCTTAAATTAAGTCACACAGTTGTTGTGAATCCCATTGGCTTGGCTTGTCGGAAGGTCGCAAAAAGGGATCATGTGACCCCAGGGACACTGAACAGTCATAAATGTGGGCCTTTAGTATCTTTATTTATTGGTTAGCCCTTGGGCCATATCAAAGTGCAGAGTTCCAGAAACGAATGATGACTAAAATTTGATAAAAGCAATTTAAAATGAGATTGGAATAAAATACGTTTTTAAATGAGATTGGAATAAAATACGATTTAAAATGGGATTGGAATAAAATACGATTTAAAATGAGACTGGAATAAAATACGATTTAAAATGAGATTGGAATAAAATATGATTTAAAATGAGATTGGAATAAAATACGTTTTTAAATGAGATTGGAATAAAATACGATTTAAAATGGGATTGGAATAAAATACGATTTAAAATGAGACTGGAATAAAATACGATTTAAAATGAGATTGGAATAAAATATGATTTAAAATGAGATTGGA